CGACGACGTGGAGGCGCGCGGGGACATCGACGGCTCTGCGCGGCAGCGGACGGCGGCCCCAACGACGCAGAGCGGTGACGAACACGACGACGGGGCGCAGCGGCACTAAAAATTGAACGCGCGTTCAATTGTATGAACACGCATGCGCGTTCTTCGAACGAGCGTTCAATTTCTTGAACGGCGACTGGAGGGGGGGGGGTTCGTGCGCGGCCCGTGCCGCATTGTCGGCGCAGGGGGGGTTCCGAGGACGTTGGGGGGTGCGTAGCCGACACAACAGGGGCAGCTTGGGGGCGGCCCGACGGGGCCTTGTGCGGGGAGGGACGCCGGCGGGAGTTGGGGCTTCGTGGGACAGGCTGAGGGCGGACCGCTTCGGTGAACCCATCGGCGAGTGGGCACGATGCCGCGAAGTCAGTCTCGGGTGTTTGAGGATGGGGGGGAGGACGAGAATCGAAAGGCGCAGAAGAAGTGTTGCGTGTACAAGTACATCCGCGTGGGACAGAGTCTCAGCGAGAGATTCTGCGGCAATCGCATGTTGAAGTGTGTTTTCTGCTGCCACGAGTTCCAGGGTAACCAGTTCGTGGCGGTGCGCCATTTTCGCCAGGGCAAGGGATGTGCGAAAGTGACCGACGAAGCACTTGTGGACATCCACTACAACAGTGAGTACAAGATGTCCGACAAGTTCCTAGAGCGGATCCAGTGATTTGAGGAGCTTCACGGTGCGCCGCCTGCGACGGATTCGCGACGGGACGAGGGAGGGAGGGAGGGAGGGATGAGGGACGCGGAGGAGCAGATCGACGTGGACGACGACGTCGAGGAGGTTGCACGGGTGGGGTCGTCAGGGAGGGAGCGAGGGAAGGGCATTGTCAGCGAGCCGGGGGGGAAGCAAGGCCAGTACTTTGCGTCGGCGCACGTGTCGGTTCGTACACGGGCAGGTGCGAATACGGCTAAGGCGGGTTCGTCTGCGGGGAAGAGGAAGGAGAGAGAGGAGGGGGCCAGACCGACGGCAGCACAGAAGAGGATGAGACAGAACACGATCACGGAGTCATTCACTTCAAAGTGGCAGATGGAGTTCAAGAAGAGGTGGCTGCGGTTTGTGTACAGTCAGCGCCTGGCGTTCAACGTCTTCCGGAGCGAGCCGTGGTTGGACGTCGTCCGACACTTCAGGGATTTGTCGGGGCCAGTGAAGGTCTTGTGGCCTTCAGAGAATGAGATCGCGGATATAGAGACCATTGTCCACACGGCGGACGATGTGGGAGCTGATCTCGCGGAGGTCAGGGCTCCTTTCTATGTCGCGGGGGCCACCATTATGTCAGACGGAAGGAAGTCACGCGACGCTAGACCCATCGTTAACTTCCTTGCCGGCGGGTCGAGTGGGGTGATGCTCGTCCGGACGATGAACAGGGAGGGTGAGCGGGATCGGGCGCCTGATGTGTTGGCGCGATGGATCAAGGTGTTCGATGACTTCCCCCTAAGTGGTTGAACGCCATCTGCACCGACTCCGCCTCGGCGTACGTCGCCGCGGCGAACATGCTCCAGGGGCCCCAACAGAGGCCAGAGCATCGACGGATCACGTGGCTCCCATGCGCAGTGCATGTCTGCAACCAGATGTTGTCAGACATTGGCTGTTCGGGCCCGTGGTCCAAGGACATCATCGTGAGGTGGAGAGCGGTGGTGCGCTTCATTAAGGAGCACGACACCGCTCTCCATATCTTCTGGGGGGAGAGCAGTCAGATGGGCTTCATATATCCTTGCGAGACACGTTTCGCATCCGTGTTCGCGATGGTGGAGCGTTTGCTGGCAGTGAGGTCAGCTTTGGAGAGGACGGTGGATAGCGATACTTGGGGTATTGTCCCTTGGGACCATTCCGTTCGTCATACGTGGGTCAGGTGGCAGGTGCGACATGGCAGTTGGTGGGATTCCATGGGCACCTTGTTCCGTATCATGGAGTCTGTGTACGACCTGCTGCGCAGGTTGGACCGCGGAGGGCTGCACATGTCACGGGTGGTTGAGTGGACACAGGATCTGGCCCGCCAGGTAGCAGAGGAGGTTTGTGCACTTCCGGCAGATCTTGCAGACTACATTGTGCAGAGTGTGCAGGCTCGATGCGCTCACATGCTGGAGCCGACGCACGCCGCTGCTCACCTTCTCTGTCCCAGCCGGCGGGACTTGCGGTACTTCGAGGGCGTGGTCAGCGACTATGACGCAAGCTTGGTGAGGGAGGCGGAGACTTACATCTTGTCGCAAACAGGTTTTAGTGTGGCGAGCAGCGACTACGAGACCGCATGTGCGCAGTTGCGCGACTTCCACACACGGAGGGGGACGATTGCTTGGGGGGGAAGAGACGGAGATGGAGACAGAGATGCACAGAGGTGCACGGGCGATGCGGAGACGTACGAGTCCGGGTGTTGGTGGTCGAGGTACGGGCAGTGCGCCCCGCAGTTGCAGGTTATCGCTCTTCGTGTGAYGTACATGTGGACGTGKTCCTCTCCTGYGGAGAGGAATTGGGCCGTCCACGAGGGTGTACAGACGAAGAAGCGTAACCGGCTTGAGTTCGAGAAGGTCACGAAGTTGGTTGAGATCTCAGCCAACGTCCGCCTTCTCTCTCATCAGCGGGCAGGCCGCGGGTTTGCGCTGCCGTGGACTCTAGATGAGTCGTTGTTGGACGTGGAGGGAGGTATCGGGATTCGCCCCTCGTGGAAGGGGACGGACGAGAGCAGGACGCGGGAGGAGCTCTAGGATCAGAGACGTTCATGGCAGCGAGACCCATGTGGGTCCAGAGCTCCTCCGGGTGATGTGGGCGATGTTTTTGGGACTCGAGCCGCCACATTGCACCCGTACCCTCGAGACGACAGTGATTCCGAGGGTTACGAGGACGAGGACGAGCCGGCAGGCCCCGCTACCGCCACTCCTGCGGCAGATGAGCGTGATGAGTGGAGCGACCCAGAGGACGTCCGTAGATGGAGTGGCGGAGATGACCTCTTCGTTCGAGTTGATTTGGAGGAGTCTGGGGGTCGTCATGAGAGCCCTCTAGCGCGTCCGAGGCCTACGTCCATTGGCCCGCTTTCCGCTGAGCGGGAGAGAGATCCTGGGTCTGCACCTTCGAGGGGGGCAGAGTCGGGGATTGGCCATCGTCCTGCTCGTGTTTGTACTAGCACGTCATCATCCACCGCTCTTCCCACTTCGACGGAGCAGCTTCATCGACAACCAGCCGGTACAGATCGATTGCAGAGATTGGTGAGGGGCCCGAGACAGCGATTGGAGGACAGATTAGAGGGCGGTCCTTCACCGGTGCAGGGGGACGACGAAGATAGACAGGGGTTGGTTGGTGGAGATGGTGGTGCGTTGGCCGGAGGTGGAGGCAGAGCTGAGGTTGCTGCGGCGGTTGAGGGGACACCGATGGGTAGTGGAGGCGGTTTCAGTGAGTTTGGTGACATGGGTATGCCCCCGGGAGAGAGCGTGGGTCTGGCCCGAGGAGAGAGCGAGTACCATGGGGACATCCTTGTGGGTATGCAGGACTTACTGGGACAGATCAGCTTCGCGGACCCGAGTAGTTTCTCCCCTGCCATGCGCACAGAGGTGATGTTGGGGGCAGAGGGGGATGAGGACCGGACACCCCCTGGAGAGACATCTGCAGAGAGACTGGAAAGGCTTCATAGTCGTCGAGCTGGCCTTATGGCACAGAGGGACCCCAGGACGCAGGAGCTCGCCCGTCTTGCGGCCGAGGAGCGACGGAGGCAGCTGGGGACATTTACGCCGGCGTCCGTTGACGTGGGGCCAGCTGCCCACACGGATCCTCCGGCAGAGGTTCACGACACGACGCAGCGGGAGGCGGCTTCAGCAGAGGTTTTGAGTACGGGAGTAGATGTTCAGCAGGGGACGCACGAGAGCGGGTTGGCACCGACAGAGGAGCCACGTTCGGAGCCGGTGCAGCCTCCTGCCGTCCAGCTGAGGCCCGAGGAGACATTGCAGGAGGTCGCTGGCGTGCCTCTGCCCGCGGGTTCAGTTGAGGGTGCCATGCAGATGTCCCCGGGTCTGGAAGACATACAGACGGGGCAGTCAGTGGGCATTGATGATATTCGCCCATTGGCACAGGCGGAGGGGATAGCGCCGACCACCGGGGGGGACGGGGCTGTAGTGGGGGCCGTTGGTGTTGGCGGGTCGGGGGTGCCGTCCGCGGCCGATCCGATGTCCACGTTCGGAGGGGGAGACCCCGCACAGGCGGACAGGCGTGACGCGGACGGACAGGAGATGCCACAGACTTTGGTGGTTCGCACTGCTGTGGGGCCAGTGAAGCCACATCAGGCACCGTTTTTGGAGGGTTATAGGCGTCGTGCACATGACGGTGGCCCGGTCGAGGAGCGACATGTAGGCAGGGGCGCGTGCATACCCCCAGGCCCTACTCTTGCGCCGTCATGGACGAGGCCGAAGATTAGGCATGTGGCTACGCCTCGGGGCAGCCTCCCTTTCGGTCTTATGACCGCTGACGAGTTGGAGGAGCACGGCAGGAGGGATTTGACGAAGATCGACCAGCGCGTTTTGAGGTCAGTCCCAGAGGAGGGGAAGCTGCCTCACGTGCAGGACTTATCTTGGGGGCCAGCCAACCCCAGCTTACCTTCAGGGTGTTCCATCTCAGCGCCATCTGGCGGGGCTGCAGGGGGCTTACCTTCTGGAGGTTCCGTCGCAGCGGCATCTGGCGGGGCCGCAGGGGACTTACCTTCTGGAGGTTCGGTCGCAGCGCCATCTGGAGGCGCCACAGGCCCTTCGTCACCCTTGACCGCAGCTCCGAGGGAGGGCGGCAGTCTCACCCAAAGGTCGGTTGCCTGTAGACGGAGAGACACTACCCAGCGTGCGCGGGAGTTGCTGGACACCATGTTGTTCGGTCGCATTGATCGACCATGGAGCGAGACGAGACGGGTGACGACGGTGAGTGTCGGTCGTCAGCCAGGTTTGAGAGGGGCTTCCACGGGCGTGAGACGTCGAGATGTTGTAGCTTCAGGGTTTGGTGGTAGAGGCGATGGCGGCGGTGGCAGCAGTGGCCAGGGCGACGGCATACGTGAGGGTGCAGGCGGTGCTGCAGCGAGCGCAGTGGATCCGCCCTTGACGTACGATTTGAGAGAGGCGTCGATTATTTTGCAGGAGCCTGACGTTGTTACACGACCGAGGCAGGAGAGACACGTGTCCTTAGATCGACGTCAGGAGGGGGAGACTTCACGGACAGACGGTCTACCTATGGCACGCGAGTCACGCCGACGTGATGACCTAGCAGCCGCAGGTGTAGGCAGGACGGTGAGAGGCAGGAGACTCATTATGGACGACGACCCCGACGAGCGTCCCGTCGCTCCCGAGCCTTCCGCTGGCAGACGCGGCGGCCAGCGTCAGAGAGATCGAGGACGTGGCAGTGGTCAGTCCCACGGACGAGGTTCTCATCGGTCCGAGCGAGATCCGCGTGCGCACGACGAGTGATGACGGATTACGGACTTGCGTTTTCGTGACTTTCTCAGTGTACTTTAGTTTTTTGTTATCCATGACAGACGTAGTGTCTCGTGAGGTTGCATTATAGTCTACTTTCCAGTGGGTGTTTTTCTGCGCAGATGTAGTGTTTCGTGATGTTATATTCTAGTCTACTTTCGTAGGAGTACATGGTCATTTCGTTCGAGTTTAGTTTTTTGTTATCCATGACAGACGTAGTGTTTTGTGATGTTGTATTACAGTGTACTTTCCAGTAGGCACTTTTCTGCGCAGTTTGCTACTTCAGAGATTGTAGCTTTCCAGTGTATTTTAGTGTACTTTTCGTCGGCATTTTTGGGTTGGTACTTCTTTCCACAGACTGGCGGGGCTTCGACACGATATGTCAGATTTTTGCTATTATCAATGCTATATTGGTTTGCATTTTGCTTCGATCATTACATCTTGTCATTTGCGATGTTTCTGTGTTCAGACGACGAGTGTTTTGTGTGCTTTGAGTCCGCCCTTGGTTTCTCTGAAATCTCACTTCCCCCGAAGTGCTTCCATGCCCCTCATAACCCAAACCCTCCCGTAGCCCCCCCCTGGCCCCCCGCCCCCACCCTTGCCCCCGAACCCCCCAAACTTCGCTCAAACACCTTTTTTTTTTTTTGCTTGCAACCCATTTTTAAAATTTCTCTAACCGCTTGTTTTGCGCTATTAAAAAAAAAAAAAAACAGATATTTTGGAAAAAAAATTAAACGGAAGGTCGCAGTTTGTGTGTGTGTGTGTGAATGTGATTATGTGTGTGTGTAAATGGGTGGCGCAGTTTGGGAGGTTGTACGTGTTGGCGAAAAAAAAAAAAAGTGCCCGTGTGTGTGCAACGGTGTGAATTTGTGTGTGCATGTGCGTGTGTGACTGTGTGTGTGTGTCAGTGTTGTGTGTGTGTAAATGGGTGGCGTGGTTTGGGGGGTTGTAATTGTGGGCGGGGAAAAAAAAAAACAGACGTCCCCGGGTGGGGCAGAGGCACGGTTGGAGGGGAGGTGGCGGGAGTGGGTGGCCCTCCGTTGGGTGGGGGTAGGGGTGTCGGGGCTTGGCAGGTGGCGGTTTTGGGGGTGGGGGCCGTGGGGCGGGGGGGCTATCGGGTGGTCCCGGGGGCGGTTTTCGCACTTTGGGGGTCTGTCGAACTCGGACCACCACCCCGTAGCCCCCGTCGCGCGCGCGCCCGGCGGGATTGCGTTCAATTTTTTCGCGCGTGCGCGCGCGTCGCGCGTTTGAACGCGATTGAACGCGGGGCTGGGGGGTTTGAACGCGCGTTCACGGCGTTCATGCGGTTACACAGTATGCAAGAAGTGGCGCAAAGACAAGGAGGAAGAATAATTGTATGTTGCTTTTGTTCATCCTACTCATATGCCTTCTACTTTTGCGGCTAGTACATGTCCTACTTCGCTTAATGTACCTAACTATGGTATTTATACTTCTCCATCTATTTTTATTATGAATTAGTCTACTTCAGATTTGGTTCGCTTCATTAATAATCTGTGACCTGATCTAGGTGATCCTTTTTCTGATCGGCGGGCCTAACTATGGTATTTATACCTGTCTCTTATACACATCTAGATGTGTATAAGAGACAGGCAATACTACTTCACCTAATGAATCTACTTCTAACATTTCTACTTCTCTACCTTCTACTTGCCCAAATGAGTCTACTTCAGATTTGGTTCGCTTCATTAATAATCTGTGACCTGATCTAGGTGATCCTTTTTCTGATCCCCCACCCCGCCGATCCCAACAAGCATCCAAAACCTACTTGACCGATTTCCAAAATTGGGACCAAATCCTGTGGAGTCCTCACACGATCGGTCAAACACACGATTGAGTTGGTCGAAGACGTAGTTTCTTCAAGGGGCTGTGTATACTGTATGGGGTCCGGCGAACCGCAGGAACTCCGGAAACAAATCGACGAGATGATTGACAAGGGATGGATAAAACCTAGTGAATTTGAATTTGGTGCACCGGTTCTGTTGTCCCAGAATAAAAAGGCAAACTCTATATATGTATTCATTACCGCGGCCTAAACCGCATCTCAAGGAAGAATGCGTAACCATTGCCACACATAGATGATGCTTGATGCTGCAGGTGGGTGCAAGGTCTTGTCCAAGACCGACTTGAGGTCTGGGTACCACCAGATTGAAGTCGAACCTGGAAACCAGCTCAAGACTGCGTTCAAAACGCACAATGGGCTTTACGAATTTACCGTAATGCCCTTCGGTCTCACAAACGCACCGGTTCAAGAGCGACCTTTGCCATAAGTTCACAATAGTGCCCGGAATGGGACCGACAGAGACGGTGGGTTGTGTTTGGGGATTAATAAACAGGGGTTCAACATTTTTTTTCCTTCAATAGATGTACCGAACATAAACTCACAATAGTGTCTGGAAAGGGCAAGACACGTCTATTCCATGAACTCTCGAACTTTTGGCTCGGGACCACACCCCACTTGTACCGCAGGACCCCTGCCACTTTCTGTTGTTCAATACCCTTTTCCTGGGATCGACCTCCGAAGCACAATTTCCGGAACTGCGAAATAGTGACCTCTGGAGCTCGTTTTATTTGAAGTGGATGTCGTGTCCAGTCATCTTGATTATTTCCATAAATTTATCTTGCAGTCATCTCTCCTCTGTTCTTAGCAAGGTGCTAGCATGTTTGCCAGAGGGCTGGGCGTTTCGCACGACAAGTCGCAGGTTGATGGCTTGGATCCACCAACTCCGAGCTTGTCGGTTGGGACCCCCAGCCCATTGATCTCGCAGGACTCTTGCAACTGGAATAAATTCGTCGTTCGTGAATTCACCTTTCGTCCTCGAATGCACATTCAGTTGCATGCAGGCCCCTTGGTGATTATATGTCTTCTGACCCTTGTCCTTTTGTGTCGTGAATCTGAACGACAAATTTATTCCAAGCTGCAGTCGATAGGGGGGAAGATGATTTCTAGGGGGTCGGGGTGTGGGAGGGGTGTTAGGGGAAGGGTGGGGGGGGGGGGGCATTGTGCTCTCCACAAAGGTTTTGATGAAGTGGTCAGCAGGTGCCCATACGCCTTGTCATAAGTTGCAGGTGAATTGGTCGAGTCCTCCAACCTGCAATTTGCAACAAGGTATGTGGGAACACGTTTATCTCGAAGTAGCCAGACGACCGATCATTCTCAGATTGTTATAGGCCCCTCTCGTCGAGCATGCTGGCGAGTGTGCTGGTAAATTGCTCACCACGGTACTACAGACCGTACTAAAAGTTGCAGGTTGATGGGTCGAGTCCTTTAACCTGCAATGACTAGCATGGTTTGTGACAACTTGTTCATCATGGCGGATGCTTTCCTTTTTCCGCCAAACTTTCAGACTTGTACTACATTGTGAATGTATCACTTTATTCATATTTGTGTAATTTACACTCATTTCGATCTTACATTCGTAGTGAATGTATCATTTTATTCTCATTTATTTCACTCCCCACGTCATACCGTCCACATCGATTTTACCTTCATTACAAAAAGCGAACAAAAAAAAGGTTCACTTTTAACGAAATGTGAGTTGGTTTGGCGGTTAGCATCCCAAGGGACATGGAAAGAGAGCGGTCCTGAATGTATCACCTACGTCCATGTAACCGCCTCACGGAGTACGGGGTCGACTTCTTGGTTTTCGCAACTTTTCGGGAGTCGAAAAGCGGAGTGGGCGCGGAGCAACTGCCACCACCCGTCTTGTTTCCGCTCCCCTCTGCACACAACGGGGGGACCTGCATACGAGGGAAGAAACGGGATCCCAAAAAATGCCAAAAAAAGTAAAAACTACTTACTGAAAGAGAAGTCGGATCAGCCCGTCATTCGTGATTCTCAACTTGGCTGGAGCCATGTACCGGTGGTTTAATCCACCACTACCTGTGATCCTCTTTTTTCCGACCTGCATTTCCCCTGCGTGCCAAAAAAGATGAGCCCGTGAGTCAGTGTTTTCTTTTCTTTTTGGCTGGTGCCACAAGCCATTTTGGTCCCGTGGCACTGTTCATCCGAAAAACACGGTAGTAAACCAACTCGTTGTCCTCCATTGTCTGAGAAAGACCATAGTGGTGGTTCAAAGAAGAACAAAATGACACTGGAAGACAGGCAGTGAAAATTCTCCTTTAGGACCTTCACTTTTTGATGTTTGTTTTTGTACAATGGCTGCCAAATTATGAGCACTGCATCATTGTTACCCATTATGGTACATGATGGAGCTCTTGTAACCCATTCTGCTTTTTTAGGGTTGTGCTGCACTGCAGTTCTTCGAGGACTTTACTCAAAGAATTGCGGGCTCCACTGGCGTTTTCACATGTTTTCCCTTTCTGGGATTTCGCCTGCATTTGCGGAAAAATCCCTAACATTCACTGAAAGCCCTAGTTCTCCTCTGTTCTCTAGGATCAGGTGCTGATTTTGGAGTTCTTAACTTGAGACTAGGTGCAACGGTATCTTTTCCCAAGAAAAAAACAGTTCAAATGCATAAGGCCACAATTCTGGCCTTGGTGGAAATGAAGAGCATAATTTGCCCAATCTGCGTCCCACGAATTCTTACGCAAAGAGCGCTATTCTTAAATTAGGAAAAGGAATTCCAATGGTAGGAATACAGATAGGTCCACCTATGGGACTGGCAGAGAAACACCTATACCTAGCGCCCGAAGTACCCATGTGACAGGGGTCGTTCGACTATGCTTCGATCGGGGCTGAGTAGTGGGGCGCTGCTTAGCCCTGGTGTCTGCAGCCACTGTCCGGTCAGGTCATCCCTGTCGAGAGAAGACTGGAGGGTAATAGTCCTGAGTGATAGACAGTAAGGTAGGATCGTGGGAATAGGGGTGCACCGGGAAGAAATCTTAGCATGGGAGGGTTGGGAGGGAGTCGCATTGGAATAAGGGGCCACTATACCATATGATGACCACATGGCCGAGTGCTGAGGGCGGCTGTCATATGTCTAGAATCCAATCTCTACAACAGCCTGGGCTTTGGAAAAACAAAAAGAAAAGAAGGAAAAGGAATTCCTCAAAGAACCAGCAGTGGAGCACAGCCCTT